AATAATAGGAAGGAACAAGGGTTTTTGCTGGTTGAGATAAGGATAGCTATACAGGGCATTGACTCACATTGATTTCCTGTGCGTGGGTGTTACCTTCTAGGTTAATTCTTTTTGATCTAACCTTTAGAAACGACATTCTAGAACAATTAGTTCAATCAATCATTTCACAGATAAGGAAGACCTGGGGCCATATCAAATGCTTTGCTCAAGGTCACACAGCAAATGAGTGGCAGGGCTTTGACCTGTACAGTTTATGTGACTTCTTAGTTCAGGATTGTAGTCACCCTATAATATGTGTGACCTAAAAAAAATCCCTCATTGCCATCTCTTATCTTTCTTTTTCTTCCTTCCTTCCTTCCTTCTTTCCTTCCTCCCCCCTCCTTCTTTCTTTCTTTCTCTTAGATTATAGGCATTTTCCATTCCTTCTCATTTTCTCCATATTCCCTGATACAGTATGGCTATTTATAATGTGATTATTATCAAGTATAGAAACTAAAATTATAGGTAATTTGAGCTGTATAATAATTCTGCTTAAAGTGTAAATTAAGCACAAATAATTGATTTAACACAATAGACCGCTAGTTCAACAATGTTCTGTGGTCATTTGTACCTGTGTGTGTGTGTGTGCGTGTGTGTGTGTGTGTGTGTGAGAGAGAGAGAGAGAGAGAGAGAGAGAGAGAGAGAGGGAGAAATCATAAAGCTATAGATATAATTGAGTCAAGAAGGAAGAAAGAAGGACTTGCATGTTTGGGTCTTTAGCATTTTTTTTTATTTATTTATTTTCACAGACTAAGGTTTGAATTTAGGGCCTCGTGCTTGCTAGGTAGACATTTTCTCATTTCACATGGTAATGACATATTTCCACAGAATATTTCACATGTAACTCAGCTCGTTTCTCTCATAGGTCACCTATTATACTGAGTAGCTAAGTGGTCTATTAAAATATAAATTAAATAATATTACTATCTACTTACAGCTCTCAATGGTTTCCAATACCCTTAGATTAAAATCCAAACTACTAACCATGGCCTTCATTATCTGGCCTCTGCCTAGCTTTTCAGTCTTCCCTTGTACCATTTTCTACCTACCTGTTCAGTGACATTGGCTACCTCTCTGCCCTTGTAACACTGCAAGCTTCCTCCTGTCTTAGGGCCTTTTGCAGTTCCATATACCTAGAGTGATCCTCCCTGATTTTTTTTTTTTTGGTGGTGTTGGGGTTTGAACTCAGGGCTATGCTAGGGAAGCACTTTACTACTTGAGCTATGGCTCCAGTCCCCACCCCCTGCCATTTTTTGCTATAGGTTATTTTTCAGATAGGGCCTTGTTTTTGCCTGGACCATGATCCTCCTGTCTAGGCCTCCCATGTAGCTATGATTAAAGGAATGCATCACCACACCTGTTTTTTGTTTTTGTTGTTGTTGAGAAGGATTCTCACTAACTTTTACCTGGGCTGACAATGAACTGCAATCCTCCCAATCTCTGCCTCCTAAGTAGTTAAGATTACAGGCATGAGCCACCATGTCTGGCCATCTCCCTCTGCTCTTTGAATGCTGTGATGGGTAATTTTAGGTGTTAACTGGGTCACAAGGTACCCAGATATTTGGGTAAATATATCTGGGTGTGTCTACAAGGGTGTTTCCAGAGGAAAGCAACATTTAAAACACTTTTAGAAAACTAACAAATACAATGAGGTTGGCTGGCTACTCAACATCACTGGAAAAATGCTGAAAGAAAAGCATAAGCTCAGAGATCCAAATTCTTGCTCAAGTGCCACATAAATGACCTTAAAGAATCTATGTGTCTCCTGAAGGAGATGCTTATCTCCTGTAGACATAAAATATAGATTGCTGAAAATCAAAGAGAATTTCATCCTGGGATTAGCTAAATTATAATATAAATTGAGGGCTTATAGGCTGTCTACTGTTAAAGTGAGAGCACTGATTAGGTGCTGTAAGTTAGGATGGGATGTGAGAAGACCCTACTGAAGAGAGGGAAACTGCTAAATTCTGATAACTCTTGGCCAGAAGAGATCTTCCCACCACTAGTGGAAGCAGCCTCTTCCATCACCAGTCATATTTATTGACTTGTTTATTGATCTAATAAACAAGTTCTAGGTCAAATAAATGAGAACATATTCTGAATCATAAGAACAGTTATAGCCCCATTGACCAATTCCTGGACATGAGCCAGTTTATAGATCCAGAGTCCCTTGAATGAAGGGGAGACATGGGTTCCCTTGAGAAAGGACCCCAGAATAACTATCAAAACATTATGTCATTAATATTTCCCCAACCTTTTTCTAAGGATCCTCTGACCTTTTACCAAGGTAACTTTGCATTAGGAAAAAGGAAATAAGTAGCCCTTTTCAGTACTGGACACTTTCTCTGAACTGACACTAATTCCAGGAGACCCAAAACGTCCTCATGGTTTACTAGTAAGATTTAGAGGTCATGGAGGTCAGGTAATCAACGGGTTTTAGGTTAGGTCCAACTCACAGTGGACAAAGTTTTAAAAGACACATTGAATGGATAAAGAAAATGTGGCATATATACATAATGAAATGTTATTAGTCATAAAATGAATGAAATCCTGTCATTTGTGGAAACATGGATGGAACTAAAGGTCATTATGTTAAGTGAAATAAGCCAGGCACAGAAAGGCAAATACTACATGTTCTTACTTATATGTGGAAACTAAAAAAAGTTGATTTCATAGAAGTAGTGCGTAGAGCAGTGGTCACTGGAAGTCAGGAAGGCTACTGAGGTGGAAGATAGAAAGAGGTCGGATAATGGGTATCAAAATTCAGTCATAGAGGAGGAATAAGTTCTGATGTTGTATATAGCACAGCAGGGTAAGCATACATTGCAATTTATTATATATTTTATAAAGAACTACAAGAACGGAGTTTGAAGGTTCCCAACACAAAAAATGATGAATGTTTAAGGAGGCAGAAGTTATAACTATCCTGATTTGATATTACACATTGTATAAGTGCATTGAACATCACACTGGGCCCCATAAATATGCACACTCATTTCATGTTGATAATAAAGAGACAAAGACACATTAGATATCAAACAAATATATCTCTGAGCCCAATGCATCCCATGTGCATCTAGTTCATATTCTCTGCTCCACCATAGTATTTTGCTTATAACTGCCTGAAATTATATAATTTCCTGACTGCTGATTTTCATCAGAACTTAAACTCCAAAAGAGACCTTACCTCTCTGTCCAACTTGGTATTCCCAATATTTGGAATAGTGCCTCACACACATTAGTCACTTAAAAAATTAGTAGTATGGAAATTTTCAACATCCACTAAAAATAGAATAGTATAAATGAACTCCATGCATAATCACTCAGCTTCAACAATTATAAATTGTGTCATTTTTGTTAAATCTGTTTCTTCCACTGGTTTTTCACTTGAGCATTTGAAGCAAATCGCAGACATTGTATCATTTCCAATCACTAGCTGTACAGTATGCACAAAGACTTTTTTTGTTACTACTGGGGTTTGAACTAAGGGCCCTGTGCTGGTTAAGCAGGTACTCTAACACTTGAGTTACACCCCAGCCCTTTTTTACTTGAGTTATGTTTGGGATAGGGGCTTGCTTTTTTTTACCCAAGTCAGCCTGGACCATGATCCTTCCATTTATGTTTCCTGTGTAACTGAGATGACAGGTGTGCACCACCATGCCCAGCTATTAGTTGACATGGGATCTTGCTAACTTTTTGAATGGACTGGCCTTGAACTGTTATCTTCCTGATCTCTGCCTCCTGAGTAGCTAGGATTAGCATAAGCTACCACATCCAGCCAGAAAGACTTTTAAAATACTTTTTGAGATTCATTCATACAATTGTGTTTTTCACAATGCTGTCACATTACTGCTCTAACAAAATAGCAATAAATGCTTGATGTTATCTAATACCCAGACCACACTAAATTTCTCCACTTGTCACATGGTATCTTAATAAATATTTGTTGAATAAATAAATGATGAACAAATGAACATAAGTGTCTGACAGTATGCTTTCTAAAAGCCTTGAAACATAGTCTTCCTTATTAGGAATATTAGGATGATTTGGCAGAAGAGTCTTAGTTTTCAAATTTTAAAAGGTGGAAAGTTAGTTCAACAAGTACTGTGTTAGTCATGCAGATAAAACCTGAGTAAAACTTTACAGTGGGTATTTACCAAAGAAAAAATGAAGACTTGTATAAGGATGTTCATAGCAGATTGTCTCATACTAGCTAAGCACTGGAAACCACACAAATATGTATCAATCAGGGAATGGATAAACAACCTGTGACATGTTCATAAAATATGATACTAGTCATTAATACAAAGAATGAAATACACAACATGAATGAATCTCAAAAACATTATGCTGAATAAAAGAAGTAATATGCAAGACTACACACTTCATGATTCCAATAATATAAAATTTTAGAGCCTGCAAAACTATTCTATAGTAGAAACTATCAGAATAATGATTGTCTGGGGGGGGACTGACTGGGAATGGGCGTGGAAGAACTTTTTGGAGTGGTGATAATGTTTATAGAGGTTTTGGTTACACAAGTGTGTTCATTTTTCAAAAGCACTAAATGGTACACTTAAGATTTGTGTGAATTTTACAAAAAAAAGAATGAAAAATATTTAGGTGGATGGATACTGATATCTGCTCTTTGCTTTGAAATGAATCAGAAAAATAAGATGGCTTGATAAATGATGGATAGAAGGATGAATATATGAACAGATATGTGATTTTAAAATATAGTGAAATGTTAGTGGTAGAATCCAGAGTTGGATATTAAGATGTTTACAATTCTCCCAACTTTGATATGTGCTTGAAAAGTTTTATATAAGATGTTGAGAAAAAAATCCCATAGTGGTTTTCAGAAGATGGGAGGAAAAGACAGTAGCCTGACAACATAGATGACTTAGTCTTTCTGAGATTCTTGCTGAGCTGCCTCTTTAGATGACTCTGGATGAACTGACCTCCACTCCCGGTTCTTGTGTACACAGGCAGCTTCTTGGCCATATCAACAAGCATCTGCTTCTGGACCTCAGGTCTCTCTTCATTTTCATAGCGCTCCTTGTCTGTGTAGGACAAGTGGAACTGGAAGCAGAAGTGATAGGTAAGACTTCATTTTCTAAGCTTCACAGGAAAGATTAAAAACAATAATAACTACCCAAAATAAAATATCTGCTACCTACCCTTGAAACCCAGGTATCAGTTCAGCTTATAAGTTTCTATGGTTAATTATCTCAATCATCTTACCTGGCTTTTATCTCAATCTTTATAACTTTTTAAGATAGGTGGTACTGTCTTATAAATAAATAAAAATAAAACTTACAGAGATTAAGCATCTTGTCCAAGGTTGTACTCACTCAATTAATAAGTAGCAAACAAAGCTGGGCCCCAATCTGATTTCACCTAACTTCAAGACTTGTGCTGTTTCCATTCCATTATACCATAATATTATGTTGCATACAGATATGCAATATACTGCTGCCAGGATTCTGCTGATGGGTAACAACTAGGCTTACTACTTTCCAAGTGCTTTTCATAGGTGACACTGATGACAACCTTGGAGAACATGGATGAGACTGCTTGTGACATAGACTGCATATTCTAATTTGCAAATGAGTACAAATGTGATTAAGAATGTTTAGTTTGGTATGGACCTTGTTGCTATGTTATTGCTACACTTTGCTAATCTTGCAAAAGATATGCCAATGATTTCCTAAAGTAATACAGATTTGATTACTAAAGATACTTCCTTTAGTATACACCAAAGGTGTAAAGGTGAAAAAGCGAAGGGCCCATGGTCAGAATTTTGGAGTTTAAACCCCATCCCTGTCACTTTATAGTTAGGAAATCACTTTGGAAAATTAGATGCTCTTAACCTTGTTTCTCATCTGTAAAATAGAGGAAATAATACCTATTTCACAAGATTGATGCCCAAGTGCTAGATAATAACAAGTAATTTGAAGATTCATTTAGTAGTCTAATTATTGAATCATTTAAAAAATTTGACACTGCTAATCATTATAATTTTACCTCTTCTAGTTGGTGTGTATCAATATTTTATTTAGCATTTCTTTTTTTTATTGTTTTATTATTCATATGTGCATACAAGGCTTGGGTCATTTCTCCCCCCTGCCTCCACCTCCTCCCTTACCACCTACTCCGCCCCCTCCCTCTCCTCCCCACCCCCTCAATACCCGGCAGAAACTATTTTGCCCTTATCTCTAATTTTGTTGAAGAGAGAGTATAAGCAATAATAGGAAGGAACAAGGGGTTTTGCTGGTTGAGATAAGGATAGCTATACAGGGCATTGACTCACATTGATTTCCTGTGCGTGTGTGTTACCTTCTAGGTTAATTCTTTTTGATCTAACCTTTTCTCTAGTTCCTGGTCCCCTTCTCCTATTGGCCCCAGTTGCTTTTAAGGTATCTGCTTTAGTTTCTCTGCGTTAAGGGCAACAAATGCTAGCTAATTTTTTAGGTGTCTTACCTATCCTCACCCCTCCCTTGTGTGCTCTCGCTTTTATCATGTGCTCAAAGTCCAATCCCCTTGTTGTGTTTGCCCTTGATCTAATGCACACCCATGTTTATTGCAGCACTATTCACAATAGCCAAGTTATGGAAACAGCCAAGATGCCCCACTATTGACGAATGGATCAAGAAAATGTAGTATCTATACACAATGGAATTTTATGCAGCCATGAAGAAGAACGCAATGTTATCATTCGCTGGTAAATGGATGGAATTGGAGAACATCATTCTGAGTGAGTTTAGCCTGGCCCAAAAGACCAAAAATCGTATGTTCTCCCTCATATGTGGACATTATTTAGCATTTCCCTAATTATTAATGACGTCAAACACCTTTTCATGATTTTACTGGCCATTTGGTTATCCTCTTGTGAAAAGCCTATTCAAGTCTTGTCTGTTAAAAAAGAATTGTGTTGCTATTCTCTTTGTATTGCAATTTTTCATATATGGTGAATTTCACTCTTTTGTTGAATACTTTCCTACCAGTCTGTAATTTTCCTTTTCACTTCCTTTATGGGACAGTTTGATGAACAGAAGATCTTGGAGAGAGTGTAGATTTATATAATCATTTTGAAAAACTTTGACATTATCTGTTTATGCTAAATATATGCCTGCACTATGACCCAGCAATTATATAACCAAGAGGAATGAATATGTGTTTGTATATATGTGTGATGTTAAATTTACATATGTATGTCAAAAACAAGTACAATAATGTTGACAGCAGTTTTGTTCATAATAGAAAAAATGGTAACAACGCAAGTGTCCTTCAGTAGGTGAATGGATAAACCAACTGTGATAAAAGGGAATACCTATCAGCAATAAAAGGGAAATGTCTACTGAAATAGGCATCAGCATGGATACATCTGAAAAACACTATGTTGAAAGAGTTATGTAGAATATTGCATACTGATTCCTTTTTTATGAGGTTCAAAAACAGACAAAATCAAACTGTGGTGATAGAAGTCAGATCAGTAGTTACCCCTGAGAGAAGGTTTATTGGGAAAGGTCATGCAGATTTCTGAGTAGCTAGATCTTATCCTGAACAGTGATTCCATGGGAGTATGTGGACCCATGTATAAAAATTCATCAAATTGTACTTCTTACAACTTAATTCTTAGAGTATGTATGCCATACCTCAATAAAATAGCAAAACAAATAAATTAATAAAATATTGAGAACCTTAAAATATATCTCACTTTAAAATGGAAATGTATAGAATTAATCTATGTTAAGAACCATACCCAGTGGTACATTTTTATGGTGTCATGTCATTCTCAAGCAGAATGAGAATTAAGTGCCCTCCTGGCAGTATGTGAAAATGTGTAGGGGGTCACTTTGGGATGTTATGTAAATGTGGTATGTTATAAGCATTTCATTCTTAGCCCAGGATTCTGCAATGAACTGGACAGATGTACACAAGTATGAATTTTTCCAACCAAGAGGCTATAAATCAATGTTATAAAACAGTAACAAATGCTGTAAATTAATATAAAAACAATTTGATTGTTCTGTTTCCTTAGAAGGACAATTATACTGAATAATGCGTATAAGGTTTAAAATTTTTTCTTTTTAATTTTGATAATTAAAATAGCACCTTGTGTTAGTTCAATTTTTGAGATGTTCTTGTGAATGTAACTTTCTTATGGTACACTGCACATATTTTAAGGGCATAGGCAGAATTGTTTTTACTTGTATGTGATGAACATCTTGTGGTCATTTAACAAGTTGGCTTTGGTTTGGGACAAACAAGTTGACATGGATGTTTGGTTAGTGCCTTTGAGGCACTAATACAAATTTAAAATGGTAAAGATGTAGTCTTAAATGTTAGATGTTTGTAGTGTTTGACTAAGTTTTGTCATTATCTCACCCAGTTTAGGCCTATAAAACTCCAAACCACCTAGCCCTTCTACTCTCCTACAAGCTTCACAAATAATATGAAGGGGAAATTATTTATTGAACTGAAATTCACATAACATAAAATTCAATTTTCAAGGGTGCATTTTATAGTACACAATTCAGTGGCATTTAGAACATTCACAATGTGAAAATATCACCAATATTTAGTTTCAGGAAATTTCATTACCCCAAAAGAAAGTCCCTTATTCAGTACTCATTCAGCTATCATTCTTATTCCTATTTCCTCTCTATGCTCAGACTCTGCCAACCACTAATCTGCCAACTTTCTGTCTCTATGGATTTGCCTTTCTAGATAGTTCATGTAAATGTAATGAAAATGGTGTGGCCTTTTGTGTCTTGTATCTTTTAGCTAGCACAAAGTTTTCAGGGTTCATCCATGTTGTAGCATATGTCAGTACTGCATTCCTTTTTATGGCTGAATAATATTCCTCTGTGTGAACAGACCATATTTTCTTCATCCATTTTTCCATTTATGATGGTTCCATCTTTGTCTATGTTGATTAGTGCTTCTGGGAATAGTCACAAATAAGTATTTATTTGAATACTTGCTTTCAATTCTTTTGAGTGTATGCCTAAGGTTAGAATTTCCAAGTCACATGACAACTCTATATTTAACTTTACAAGGAACTGCACAGCTGTTTTCTATACCATTTGCACCATTTTATATTCTACATGTTTCATATAATAAATGCCTGGTATGCTTATAAGTCCTTTCATGAACTCTTACAAATATTACATGAAACACATGGATTCAAGAGAATACTGCTCAGTTATTGATTTAACTATTGTACTTTTTCTCAGAGTTGTCTTCCAGAGCTTTGCTGGGTACTAAAAAAAGTTTCATAGAATTGAACTAAATGAGATCTCTGTGGATTGTTGTTTTTTTCTAACTTAGTCAACATTGCAGGTATAGTGGCTTCCTAGTCATAAAAATGCCCAGGACTGGTGATATCAGAAACTCCTTCAATAGCTTATCCTACCCTAATTCACCTTTGTCACTGAGTCCTTCTTAGTTTCTACTGATCAGGCCCGGTGATGTATGACTGCAGTCACAGTTAATTGGGAGGGATAAGTAGGAGGATCACTTGAGCCTAGGAGTTTGAGGCCAGCCTGGGCAACATAGTGAGACCTTGTGTCAAAAAAAATTACCTAATTTTCCTTTGTAATAGAAAGTTATTTGCTTTTCTTTTTGTTCTCGTATTGCTTTATTAACCTCTCTACTTTCCTCTGTTCTTAGCCTTTGTGAAGTTACCAATATTCTTACCTTCTGGTTTGGCTGCTGTGGTAGTGTAAAGATAGACTTCCAGTAGGTCCAGGCAAAGAACACAAAGATGGCATGGTAGAGTATGAGGTAGATAACTGAAATAAACAAACAGTGTTTATGATTTTTATCCCTTCTTAAGAGTTCAAAAAGACTCAATGACAAATCTCTATCTTGTTTTCCAATTACCAAGTATTCTATAGTACTATTATGAAATGTTAATTGTTACTATTTTCTCATGCAGTGACAGAAATAAATCATAATACCAAATTCTGAACCAGATACTGTCTGGAAGTTGTATTCTTTAAAAGTTGCCATGAGATTCTTTGAGTAAAGTGAGGAAATGTCCTTTATGACAATATAGTAAAAGCTAATTTAACTAATTGTCATTATCTTTGCCATTGTTGGTGCTGAAAGGTGATGGTGCTTTAATTTACATAGCAAATTTACAACATGCTTTCATAATATATTTATCTCATTTTATTTTCTCAATAACATTGTGATATAGGTAACAGTTAAGGTAGTTGATTATTAGGGGTGGTTGATTAACCAAAGTCATAGTTAGTCTATAATGTAGTCAGGTTTTAAATACAGGACTTCCAAGTATAAATACCAAGACCTTTTCAGTAGCCCCATACACAACAGTTCTGAAGAGTGAGCTGCACCTTGAAACAGATGTATAAGTGACTCTCCACTGCCCTTTTTTCATACTCTTTGCCTCTTAGCTTTTCTGATATGGGGAATTTTGGTATTCTCCACAGAGAGGGTTATGACTGAAGGTCACTTTACTGTTTCATTGTGAGTCCTTGAATGGCATGGTCTTATTACTTCAATCCATCAGAAAGACTCAAGGGAATTATGTGACTCAAGACCAAGTTAACAAATGTTGCTGGGAAAAGTGGTTATCCATCTCCAAGAAACTAAAACTAGATCCATGTCTATCACCCTGTACTAGTATCAATTCAAAGTGGATCAAGGACCTAAATATCAGACCCGAAACTCTGAAGTTACTACAGGAAGGAGCAGGAAACACTCTGGAACTAATAGGTATAGGCAAGGACTTCCTCAATAGAACCCCAGCAGCCCAGCAACTAAGAGAAAGGATGAATAAATGGGACTTCATAAAATTAAAAAGCTTCTGCACAACAAAAGAAATGGTTTCTAAACTGAAGAGATCACCCACAGAAAATATTTGCCAGCTATACATCAGACAAGGGACGGATAACCAGAATATACAGGGAACTTAAGGAACTAAACTCTCCTAAAATCAATGAACCAATTTAAAAATGGGCAACTGAACTTAATAGAACTTTCTTAAAAGAAGAAATTCAAATGGCAAAAAAGCACATGAAAAAATGCTCACCATCTCTAGCCATAAAGGAAATGCAAATCAAAACCACACTAAGATTCCACCTCACCCTGTTAGAATAGCCATCATCAAAAACACCACCAACAACATGTGTTGGCGAGGATGCGGGGAAAAAGGAACCCTAATCCACTGCTGGTCGGAATGCAAGCTGGTACAACCACTCTGGAAAAAAATTTGGAGGCTTCTTAAAAATCTAAACAGAGACCTGCCATATGATCCAGCAATCCCGTTCCTGGTGATATACCCAAAAATGCAACACAGGTTACTCCAGAGGCACCTGCACACCCATGTTTATTGCAGCGCTATTCACAATACCCAAGTTATGGAAACAACCAAGATGCCCCATTATTGATGAATGGATCAAGAAAATGTGGTAGTTGTACACAATGGAATTTTACTCAGCCATGAAGAAGAATGAAATCTTATCATTTGCAGGTAAATGGATGGAACTAGAGAACATCATTCTGAGCGAGGTCAGCCAAGCTCAGAAGACCAAAAATCATATGTTCTTCCTCATATGCTGACTTTAGATCTAGGGTAAATGAAGCAATGTGGTTGGACTGGGACCACATGACAAGGGGAGAGCATATATGGGTGATATAGAAATAGGTAGAAAACCCAAAACATGAAAGCATTTGATGTCCCCACTCCAGAGGAAGTAATACAGAAACCTTAAAGCAACAGAGGTTATCATGAGAAGGGGATCAGTAACTAGGGTAAAGATCAATTAGAGATGAATCAACATGGGTCATAACACGTGTACACAAAAGCAATGCTAGGAATATTTCTGTATAGCTATCCTCAACTCAACTAGCAAAACACTTTGTCTTCCTTATTAGGCTTGTCTCTTTTCTTCAACAAAACTAGTATAAAGGCAGAACAGGACCTGCCTGGGACTGAGGGAGGAAGGAGGAAAAGGGTGGGGGAGGGAGCAGGGGGGAGAAATGACCCAAACAATGTATGCACATGTGAATAAGTGAATAATAAAATAAAAAAAAGACCAAGTTAACAGGGCTGAACCTCTCATATGTTTATGGCTGAACTGAAAAAAAGCCTTACTCTTCTGGGCCAGTACCCCAGTCCCACAATACAAGACCTTTTATATGTGTTTGATTTCTGTAATTATCAAATATAACTTTAAAATTCAAGTAATATAAAGTAAAAATAAATGTTCATCCCAAGTATACATCTAACTTGCTACCTAAGGCACAACAGCTTCTTGGCATTGGCTGTGTATCATTCTAGATCATCTCATTTAAATGCATATATATACAAAACATGGAATTTTATATTTAAAATTTTCATTACATTTCTTTTGAAAAGTAATACATTCATAAGTTCAAAATTTGAAAGTATAGAAAGGTATATAAGTGAATTTTCTCTGAGTTTTGTCCATCAGTCACCCAGATCCCTTCTCTGGAAGCAACTAATGTCAGAAGGCCAGGACTATTTTGTGTATCCTTTCAGATTTTATATTTATAAAATCACCCAAATAGTGTGTTCTGTCACATAAACAATAGTATTCTGTGCATAGTGGTTTTATACTATATTTCTTTTCTGCTTATTTTAAATTGGAGATTATTTCACTTAATATAACTTGGAAAGAATTGAGCTTCCTCATTCTCCTTTTGGAAGGCTGAATGGCCATTACATAAATGTACTATAATTTACTATCAGACTGTCTTTGATGGAAAGTAATTTTCCCCTGCTATTGCTAATACAAATAATATTTCAATGAATAATTTGTATATATGTTTTCAGCACATGTATGAAGAACATCTATAGGCTCAATTCCCTGAAGTAGAAATTCCAGGCCTAAAGATAGGCCTTTTGGTGGAAATTGCTAAATAGCCAATAAGAAAAGTTGTATATGATTTACCTTATTACCATCAATAAAAGAGTGCTTCTTCCTGCATGACCAAATAGCAAAGAAAAATCCAACTAAGCATTAAGTTGTTCTACATTTAATCACTGCATTGTAATGTGAATGGCCCATTATAAGAATAGCTTCTGAAATTAGAATGACTCAAGCTCTTTCCCTAAAATAATGATTCATAAACATCTTGATAAAAAATTACAAAATCTTAAATTACATAGTGTAAGTAGCTTGAAGTTGCATCTTTGAATAGCACACTGCCTTTTTTTAGGTATTCCCAAGGACCAGTGGGAAATGTGTGTGTATGTGTATACATGTGATGCTTGCATTCACATTCTTGTGTGAATAACAATGATTGCAGCAGATAGATTGTTCTGAATGCAGCAAGATGATCCCCAAATGGGAAAAGAGGAAAATAAAGCAGCTTTATTATGTTTTTTCAGACACCTATAAATAAGGCTGTTACTGTGGCAAGTTATTGTTGGAAACTACCATAAAAAGAGATCATTTTCTGTAATATCGTTCAGATAGATTGATGACTAAAATAATTTGTGTTGATAGAGGGGGGAAACAGAAAAAGAAGAGTACCTTACAATTGCATTCAGCTTATCCCTAGCATTCAAGATTTTCTCAGGTTGTTTCCAGGGTTCAGTCACCTAATCCCTAGGAGTCACTCTCATAGTGGGATCAAATTCTGGCACCAACATACAACATTACGTTTTGAAAGAACATGGCTTTCCTCATTGATATTAACTTCAAAAGTTAGAGGTTTATCCAACTATGCTAATTTCTCCAAATTATCCATTAGGCATTTACTGCTCATCAATTTAAATAAACCTTTTATGAAGCTGGTTATGTTTTCAGTCTATATCAATCCTTGAGAGGAATGAGTTTCATAAGTTTGCCAGTCACTATGCAAGGCAGGACTTCATTTTAATTTTCATAAACTTGGCTCTTTTTTTTTTTTTGCAGTTTTAGGGATTGAACCTGGGGCATAGCATATGCTACTCAAGTGCTCCACTGCTGAATTACAACCCCCAGTCCAAAACAGCACTTTTAAGTTTCAAAGAGTTTTCTAGACAATGTGCATTATGAGTTAGTGAACAGTATATCAAGTTAACAAAATACATAGACTTAATATGTTTATGATTGTGGATTATAGTCCCTTTCAGTTTTTGTTTTTCCATTTTAAAAAAAGTCTCCCCTTTTTAGTCTATTTTGGACACTGAAGTGTCATATAAAATTCAATACATTTGGAATCAGATGACTAGGGTTTGAACTCTGGATTTACCACGTAATAATTATGTATCCTTGGGAATGAAGCATAGCTCAGTGGCAGAGAATTTACCTAGCATGTTCAAGGCCCTGAGTTTGATCCCCAGTACTACCACCACCACCACAACAAGACAACAAAAAACAACCCCCTCCAAACTATGTGTCCTTAAGAAGCTGGTTAACCTTTCCAATAATTATATGTATGCATGTGTGTATGTATATATATAACATATATATAATGTATGCTTAAATATATTTCTAAACAATATATATGAAATACATACTTGCATATATTTTTGATGGCACTAGGGTTTGAACTAAGGGCCTTGAGCTTGCTAGCAGAGCACTCTATCACACAAGCCACTCCTCAGCCCCTTTTGCTTTATGTATTTTTTAATAGGGTCTCATCTTTTTTATGCTCAGGATAGCCTGGACCATGATCCTCCTACTTATACCTTCCACATAGCTGGGATGACAAGTGTGTGCCACCATGCCCAGTTTTTATTGGTTGAGATGGAGGTCTCACTAACTTTTTTGCCTAGGCTATCCTCAAACAGTGATCCTTGTGATCTCCACCT